GGCAAGATCCTCTTTTGGCAAAAAAAATTATGACTTGCTCAGTCGATTATGACACTCAAATGATTGTTATAATTTTTTAACAGTATTTAAAATAAAGGTATGCCTATTTTTGAGACATAATGCTATTGCATACTTGATGAAATCCAGCATACTGGAATCCAGTAAACACAATTTTCTTATTTTCTGGGAAAACAAAAGTTGTGTATGACTAGCTTTATTGCAATATTCTGTTTATTATAATGGTCCGAAATAAAATCTTTAATATCTCTGAGGTATGACTCAGTGCATATTTGTAAATAGATGGAATCCAGAAGGTATTCAGTGGGTGTTGGCGGTGAATTAAGATATTTTAAATTAAGTGCCAAATAATTTGCTGTCTTCCAAACCTGTTTAATTTTAGTTGCTTATTCTGCTTGCTTTGTTTAAAAAATTTTTTTTCAGGTAATCATTTTAATGGCCATTTAAAAACAGCCACTGTATTCTAGAACAAAATTGTAAAGATTTCTTTTTGAAAGTGTTATCACTGTGGTGATATATAAGCACTAGTTCCCTTATCTCTACTTGCTGCCCAAGTGTTATAATATTTAATCAATGTCATTTGTAAAATAATAGGTTAACTAACTCAATGTAGCATGATTATAATATTTAATCAATGTAATTTGTAAAATAATAGGTTAACTAACTCAGTGTAGCATCATGTAGTATTTCATTTGTTTTTATTGCCAAGTTTAATTCCTTTATAAATTATATCACTGCTTATCCATTGTCTCTTTGATGGACAACTGCACTATTTATGATTAAAGGTGTTATAAATGTTTTTGTACAAGTGCTTGTGTGGATACTGTTTTTATTTCTCTTAGGAATACCTGGTACTGGAATAGCTGTATCAAGATAGATACAGGTTCACTGATTATAGGTGCACGCCTGTAATACCAGCGACTCAGGAGACCAAGGCAGGAGGATCACAAATTTGAGCCCAGCCTCAGCAATTTAGCAAGGCTTTAAGCAGCTTAGTGAGACCCTGTTTCAGAATAAAAAAACAAAAATGGTTGGGGATGTGGCTTAATGTTAAAGCACCTTTGGATTCAGTCCCCAGTAAAATAAACAAATAGGTACATAGATAGATACAGGTTTAATTATATAATAAGTGCCAGACTTTTCCCCAAAGCAGTTTTGCCATTTTTACATTCCTAACAGTGACATGTTAGGGTTTTATTGCACTTCATCTTCACTGATTTTTTTTTATAGTTATAATCTTTAATTTTAGTGGATATGTTTATTTTTAATGTTAATTATTATGATTATTGATACCACATATCTACTACTATCACTCATAATTTGAACATTCTTAGCTGTTTATCTTGGTAATGAAGTTAATGGGTTCATTACAGAGTTAGGGAGTACTCAATTCTGACACCAAGTATAAATTTGTTAGTCCCTAAGTCTGCCCCTTCACCACTCTGATACCAACTGCAGGTTAGGAGTCTTTAAGACTGCTTTTACTCTGGTTGTGGTGGGGCACACCTGTAATCCCAGTGGCTCRGAAGGCTGAGGCAGGAGAATCATGGGTTCAAAGTCACCCTCAACAAAAGCCAGGCGCTAAGCAACTCAGTGAGACCCTATCTCTAAATAAAATACAAAATAGGGCTGGATGTGACTCAGTGGCTGAATCCCCTGAGTTCAGTCCCTAATCCCCGCCCCCCCCAAAAAAACACATATCTTACAAGTTTGGAGGCCTCAAGATCACTCTCAGATTTTATTATTTGTTAGAACTCTTAGAGCTTACAGAAAATTTACTCAATTTTGTCTTATTTTAGTGAAAGGATTCTGTTTAACATTAGCCAAGGGAAAAGGTGCCTTATGTAGGATCTAAGAGAGTCCAGGCACAGATTCCAGTTGTCCTCTTGCTGTAGACTTGACACAGTGCTTACTTCTTGAGCAACAGTGCATGACAATATGTGCAGAGTATTGTCAGTTAGAGAAGCTTATCTGAGCCATGGTGTGCAGAGTTTATATTGGGGTTCAGTCTCCTAGACATGATTGACTGCTTATGTTGTTGACTTTAGTCTCTAGTCTATCCAGAGGTTGAGCTGATACTGTGTGGCACAAAGCCATCCCAACAGCCCCAGTAAATCACATTGTTAGTATAGACTATTTGGAATTGCCCAAGGTCCCCAGGTAAATAAAAAACACTCTTATCAGGCAGTATATTCCAAGGATTTGTAGCTTACTTCTGGAAACCAAAGACAAAGAGGCCAGACCTCTCTTTTGATACAGTTAATCTTTTACTGCACATTCTTCTATCCTCTTTGTTTTTTTAAAGCTAAAATATGCAAAATGATTGAATTAAAATGGTTACAATCTGTGACTAAGTTAAGAAACTTAACTGGCTCATGTGGATATAGTTTGGGATCTTGATTCTTTTATAAAAAATTTTGTCAGTACTAGGGATTGAACCCAGGGTTTTGTGCATGCCAGCCAAGTGCTCTACTATTGAGCTGTATCCCCAGTCCATGCTGTTGCTCTGCCTGTCTCTGGAGCTAACCTACTGAGCTATTTATTTATTTAGGTACTGGGCATTGAACCCGATGGTGCTTAACCATTGAGCCATATTCCCAGCCCTTTTTAAATATTTTAATTTAGAGATAGAGTCTCACTAAGTTGCTCAAGGCCTTGCTGAGTTGCTGAGGCTGGCTTCGAACTTGGAATCCTCCTGCCTCCTGAGCTGCTGGGATTATAGGCACATACCACTGTACCTGGCCCTATTGAACTCTTTAATCCAAATTTATGAAGATTGCGAAACCTGATGACATAGTTTTTGTTTTTTAATTAATTCAGCAGACATTGAACTTCTGGAATGTTCAGGCACTGTGCTACACATATAAATACTAATATACAAAGTATATTCATTGCTTTTAGCTCCTCAGTCAAGTCAGAGACAGTTGATAATCAAAGCAGGTGCTTATGTTGGAAGTTGCTTATGTTGAAGTTGCTAGAGTTTTGATTTGCATTTCTCTAATTTCTAGAGATGATGAACCTTTTTTTAAATATTGTTGATTTATTGCATATCCTCTTCTGAGAAGTATCTGTTCAGGTCCTTGACCCATTTATTGATTGGGTTATTAGTTTTTTTGGTGTTTAGCTTTTTGAGTTCTTTATATACCCTAGAGATTAGTGCTCTATCTGATGTGTGAGGGGTAAAGATTTGTTCCCAAGCTGTAGGCTATCTATTCACCTCACAGATTGTTTCTTTTGCTGAGAAGAAACTTTTTAGTTTGATTCCATCCCATTTAATGATTCTTGGTTTTAATTCTTGCGCTATAGGAGTCTTTTTTGAGAGAGAGAGAGAGAGAGAATTTTTATATTTATTTTTTAGTTTTTGGCGGACACAACATCTTTATTTTTGTGTGTGGTGCTGAGGATCGAACCTGGGCTGCACGCATGCCAGGCGAGCGCGCTACCGCTTGAGCCACATCCCCAGCCCCTATAGGAGTCTTATTAAGGAGGTTGGGGCCTAATTTTGAGATAGGATTCTTGCTAGATTGCTGAGGCTGTCCTCAAACTTGCAATCCTCCTGAGTAATTAGGGTTACAGACTTGTTTCACCATGCCCTGCTAATATTATTGGTAGTTAATAATAATAAAAATTCATGAGTCCTTAGGTTTAGTTAAAGGGAGACCTTTTCCTTTTGTTATTTTTAATATTAAAATTTGGTTATTAACTCAAAACAAATATAGAAAGATTTTGAATAGTTATTTCTTTTCTTTTTTTTTAATATTTATTTTTTTAAGTTTTAGGCAGACACAATCTTTATTTTACATTTACTTGGTGCTGAGGATCGAACCCAGTGCCTCCTGCATGCTAGACGTGCAGTCTACCACTGAGCCACAACCCCAGCCCCAATAGTTAACATTTCTTAACAGTCACTAGGGAAATTGAAATAATTTTTCAAGTGGTGTTTTGACTTTTTGCTCTTTTTTTTTTTTATGTTCTAGCTCACTATCATCCTCTTTTTTGTTCTTTTTACTTTCTTTTCTCTGCCTACTCTTATATCCCTGCCTTAGTGCAATGAAGATTATTTATTTTGTTTTACTCTTTGAGAGCTTTTATGTATAGAGCAAAATTTGACATAAGCCAGGTTAGTATTTCATATTTTCTTATATTTTATTTAGGTGCTGACTCCCACAATTAAAAATATACTCATTAATTTGAGTTGAAATAGAAATGTGTGTGTGTGTGTGTGTGTGTGTGTGTGTGTGTGTGGTGTTTCATTGGCTGTAGGGATTTTAATAGCACAGGTTCTTGGCACATAGCAGAGAAGTCTTTAAACTCAGAATATTCAAGGTAAATTATCAATATCATCACATTTTATTTATCATTCAATGCCTCAATTTGTAAAGTACACTGTTATTTTATGTACCACTAAAATAGGAGAAAATACTGCTAATCATAATTAAAAGGGAAATCTCAGTATTATAAATTAAAAAAAATTTTTTTTTTTTTTAAAGTCAGGGTTTCACTTTGTTGCCCAGTCTGGCCTCAAACTGTTGAGCTCAAGCGATCCTTCAGCTTCAGCCTCTCAAGTAGTCAAGACTACAGGTGCTTTCTACTGTACCTGTCCATAAATATTAATACATAAAAGTGTGAATCTTAGTAAATCTGTGAAATTACACACATATGGAAACTATGCTTCCATTTTTACTACAACTTGTAGTAATTTTGTACTTTGATCAAAATTTGATTTTCACTTTTTCTGTAGTTCCCTCTATGTTGGTTGTTAAATTCAGTAAACAATTTCATCCCTTTCGAAGTCATTCTTATAATAATAGCTAACATTTATATAGGATTTACTGTGTGCTAGATACTATTTAGTGTACTTTTTATATTTTAGATAACTAAGTTTTAAAGTATCCTTATGTAGTGAGTGCTTTTAGTATTCCTATTTTATCAGTAGGAAACTATTAAGTTATGCTTTTGGTAATTTTTGTTTGTATTTTTAGGACATTCAGTCAGAAGAAGGCTGCTATTGAAAGAGAGTATGCACAGGTAAGCTTGGAGCTGGAGATCCCCTTTCTAGGTATGCCTCTTTTCCTTGGCTTAAGGACAAATATGGTTGTCAAGAGAGAACCTTAGTGTTCTGCRTCTTCTTTGTCTTCTCATTTCTGGCTACCTTTCTTTGATCCCCCTTTTGCTATATTTGAATCTTCAAGTGAGGAGCTAAGTTGTTCCTCATTACAAAGGGAACTTGTTAGACATTATTTACAGTATTTGTATTTACAGATATGAATGATGATGAATACATTTCACAAATACATTTATTCATTTCCTTTATATGCTTAATTCTCTGCAGTTTATGTAAGGTTAATTTTTATATTTATTTAATCAAGCATTTAGTTCTTATTCAGCCTTGTTGATAGAGAGTGGTATGCTTTTCAGTGTACAGTATGGAGTTATTTGTAGGAAAATTTAAGCATTTCCATCTTTAATTTTGATTAGACCCTTATTTGTGCCTCAGTTAGCTGAATGTTGCAAGAAAAAATTATGTTGACCATCATTTTTTGGGTGTGTAAAAATCACTATTTTTACACATATAAATGTACTTAATATACTATTATTAAGTACTTATATGTTAAGTACTTATATTAAGTATTTATTATTAAGTACTTATATGTACTTAATAACTATTAAATATACTTAATAATTATTTAAAAATAACTATTTTTACACACATAAATGTACTTAACCTATAACTATTTTATGGGTTATAGGTAACCTATAAAAATAATTATAAAATGAAAAGAAGCTCTCTATGCTTGGAAAGATGGGACTTGTCACTGGATAAATAGGAACAATAGAAAAGAAAGGAAAATCTCAGAGCATCAAAAACAATATATTGTTGTTTATATATAAACAACTATTTTTCCATTTACAAAAATAAATTTACATAATTTGGAATTTTGGGCCTTTTAAGCAGTTACTTTTTGTATGTAGTAGTAGTCTCAAAAGTTTCCCTCACCCCCTCAAATAATAAAATTCAAATTTGCAGCAACAATTTAAAACACAAGAGAAAAAGTACAAAAGAACATTGGAAGAAAAAAGTAACATGGAGTTAATGTTCAATGTTGTAACCACTATTGCTGCTGCTGTTGATGTTCATTATAAATAATGAAGTGGGAGTATGATTTTCTTTTTTTTTTTTTAATTTTAATATTTATTTTTTAGTTTTCGGCGGACACAACATCTTTGTTTGTATGTGGTGCTGAGGATCGAACCCGGGCCGATCCACTTGATACCACTTGAGCCACATCTCCAGCCCATGATTTTCTTTTTTATCTATGCTTTTTCTGGTTTTAATTTTAATTTTATTTCAATGTATTTAATTAGGTAAATGTCTGTATTTGAATTAAGAGTTTTAGAGAATTATCCTAAGCTAGATAGAATTCAATTCATTAGTTAGTAATTGTAGAGTGCTTAGAATGGATCAAGGCTTCATATAATGAAAGTATCAGTTCTAATATTTATTTTGAGCCCTTTTTTCTGTGCATATATAGTAAGTACTGGAAATGATAGGTAACATGTATTGAATCCTTACTTTGTACCAGACTGTGCTGAGGATAGCCCTAATCTCAGTCAATCTTTTCTTCAGGTAAAAGATTAACAGCAGATACCTATATTGGTTTGCCCATTGATCATTTTCATATCTTTAAATAATGTGCTCATGACTGATTATTTACCTGCTTTAAGCATTATCTCAGGCAGAGCTGTAGCTCAGTGGTTGAATGCTTGCCTAACAAGGCCATTGGTTCCATTTCCAGCATTGCACCCGCCTCCCCCCAAAAGTGCTTGATTATTTATAATAAAATAAGTGAGAAAATAATAAAATTTAGTGAAAACACTAAACCATTCCTTTATAGCCTATTCTTTTAGTATAATTGTGAGACTGGAGTTGTACGTCAGGAGTAGAGTGCTTGCCTAGAACGCTTGAGGCCTGTGTTCACAAACTCCCAAAAACAAATCTCTAATATAACTGTCACACTACTTGAGTGTCTTTATTAGTTTTGTAACTTTACCTTTGTATTTAAACTTCTTTCCTTCTATTAAGTGCATATGTTTTATATATATATGCACACACATACATGTTTAAGTATTACACAGTAAGTAGAATTACATTTTATAGAGTAGTCAGGTTTACCCTTGAAGTTACCTTAAATGTCTGTCAAGTAGATTATAGTTAGTTTAGTTAAGTCTGAATAATAATATATGTAAATTATATAAGGTATTTAATAATGTATCTTTTAAAACCTCTTGAAGCAATTATATTCAGAATTAATATATTACATTGCTGTCTGCCAGGGAGGTTAAGTACATTTATAGAGCCAGTTTGTTGACTGTTCTTTTACTTATCATCATATTTGCCTTATAGATGATTTTTCTTAGTTCTTATTTTCTGATGTTTTCCCAATTAATTTTTAAATTTATTTTCTGAAAAGTTAGGCAATATTGTCTCTTATTTTTTGGTTGCTTAAATATTTACTTCTTATCAATAGTACAGAAACTCCTAAAATAATGGACACTTTCTTTTGTCAGTGTGTACTAATTATTTCAGACCAATTTGCATTCCCTGTGTTAAAAACATGCCCTATTAGTGCCCTTATTGGTACACGGTCAGAGAGGAGAGTGATAGTTGCACTAATTAAATTTCTTTCTGTTTTTTAAAGTTCAGTGTACAGTTGAAATTTTGGAAGATAAATTTTTAAAAATTGGTATAGTAGGTATATAGTAAGTAAGGTTGGACAGATCTTGAGTGTACTGTCTGATACATTTTTGTGAATTTGTGAGTAGTTTCAGTTATGTAACTACTACTCAAATCAAGATATAGAGCTTTACAGGTGCCCCAGAAGCATTCAATACTCATACCTTTCAGTGGTAACTAGTACTCTTTTATAAGGATTAGTTGTTGTCTTTAGACTTCTTGTGCTTCTTAAATTAAATGGTGTATATCAAGCAAATGTGCTCTTACTTCGTGGAGTATGGATCATACTCCACAAAATACGTACTCTTCCGTGTCTGATTCTTTCTTTTGGCATTACATTTTGAAGCTTCATACACGTTTTTGCATGCAAGGGTAGGCAGTTCGTTCTTTTTTATAGTACCCACTGAATGAATATATCACAATTTGTTTTTGTAGTGTACTAATGATGAAAATCTTAGTTTCATGTTTTGAATGATTTTGACTAATGCTTCTAAGCAAAGGTTTTACATATTGTTTTGGTAGATATATGTACACAGTTCTGTTAGATGTTTATGTAGGAACCTAGGAGTAGAATTGCTGGGTCATTGCTTATGTGTATCTCCTACTTGAGTAGATATAGCCAAGCAGTTTTCCAAAGTGATTGTACCAATTTACATTCTCACCAACAATTTATGAGAGTTGGGTTTGCTCCATATCTTTGCCCATATTTGGTTTTCTCTAAAATTAAAGCAGCTAAAAAAAAAATATATATATATATATAATGATAATACTAGGGATTGAACTTAGGGGTGCTTAACCACTGAGCCACATCCCCAGCCCTTGTTATTTTTATTTAATGACAAGGTCTATATAAGTTGCTGAGGGCCTCGTTAAGTTGCTGAGGCTGTTTTTGAACTTGGGATCTTCCTCCTCAGCCTCCTGAGCCATTGGGATTACAGGTGTGTGCCACCACATCTGGCAAAGAAAGACTGACTATTGATAAATATAAAGTAGTATTTTATTTTCTTCTTAATAAGCTGCGTAAAAGTTGACATACATAAAGATGTATGCAAAAGTATATTATAGCTCCACAATTTTTTTTTTTTTGTACCAGGGAATGGACCCAGAGGCACTTAACCACTAAGTCACATTCCCAGCCCTTTTTATTTATTTATTTTTTATTTTGAGACAGGGTCTCACTAAGTAGCTTAGGGCCTGGCTAAGTTGCTGAGGCTGGTTTTGAACTTGGAAACCTCCCGCCTGAGCTTCCCAAATCACTGGGATGATAACCATCATGCCTAGCTCCACAAATTTTTAATACATGACCAAATTGTTTTCCAATTTGACTATCATTTTTTGTCCCCACCAGCAGTGTACAGAGGTTTTAGTTCCAGTACTATCCTAGTCAGTACCTTGTCATTGTCTGTCTTTTCTGATTATAGTCATTGTGGTGGTCACAATCATTATGAAATGGTGCCACTAGTACATTTCTTTTTAAAAATGTTTTTATTAATGCTTTATAGTTACATATAATAGTGAGGTTCATTTTGACATATTCACAAATGCATATACCATTATTTGCTCCATCTCAATCTCCAGTACTTTCTCGTTTTTTCTCCTCCTGTCTCCCTGATCTAGCCCCTTTTCTACTGTATTGGTCTTCCTTCTTAATACATTCTTACATGTGTCTTAGGTGATTATATATGTGTATTCTATTGGGGATATGCTAAGGAGTGGAATTGTATCATGGGTTATGTATCTGGCTTTGGAAGATATAAAAGAAATTGTGTTCTAAAGTAATTGTTGCAATTTACAATCCTGTGGACAGCATTGAGAGTTGTAGTTGCTCTAAGTCCTCATCAACACTTTCTTCTTTTCATTTTAGCCTTTCTGGTGAGTATATGGTGGTAAAAATATTATAGATTTGATTTTCATTTTCCTGATGTCTAATGAAGTTGAGTAACTTTTTCATATTTTATTTGGGCATTTAGATATGCTGTATTATGAAGTTCCTGTCAAGTTTTGTCATTTTTTTTCTTATTGATTTGTACTTTTTCAAAAAATATTATGATATGGCTGCTTTGTCAGATGTTGTATACATTGTAGACATTGGTATATCATGCAGAAATATCATGGTTTGTGGCTTGCCTAATTTAAAAAAAATATTTTTTTAGTTACATGTGGACACAATATCTTTATTTTTATTTTATGTGTTGCTGAGGATCGAATCCAGTGCCTCACTCATGCTAGGCAAACACTCCACCTCCAAGCCACAACTCCAGCCCCGTGGCTTACCTTTTTATTTATAAATGGT